CTAAACTGGTTTCCAACGCTTTGAAATCGCCGTCGTGAAAAGGCTGAAGGCGGAAGACCTATACTGGTACGTGCCATTTAGTTTATCAAGATTTATATATATTTGCAGTTGCATATTTTTATTGTACTATTATTTTCAGTATGCATTCATTTCCGATACATTAATTGATATAACATATCTTCACTAAGCAACTGTTAACTACCCTTAAATATGTCTAATTGCGACAGTAAATTCCTGTGAAAATTAATGGAATGTTAATATTCAGAATAGAATTTTGGTGTTGCCATGTAATATTAAGGTATTGTTGGCATTTCCTAGACAATTTACTAAGTCAGCTTTAGCGGTTGTAATGTGCATATTACCTCGCTTTATTTGTTTCGTGCTGCGTTATTACTCACCACAGTCGAGCTCTAAATGTGCTGAGAAACCTTTGTACTAGCAAACATAAACGTGCATATTACACACTGTGAGTTTTATCAATTATCTTTTATAAGACTTTGTGTATTTACATTATTAGGTGTAATAAAAGATACTTAAAGGTAACGATAGGATAGGGATAAGTACACTCTCAAGTAAAAGGTTTAAGAGTCCTCGAAACTTTGTTTCATATACTCGTACTATCTCAATCACTTTATAACCAAAGTCATAAGAAAAAAATCATAGGTAATACAACCCATATCTACATGATACATACCCATATCTACATGATCTATTCAAAATGCCACTCTGATTTTGTTCTTGCTCTATTCTTTGTTATGTGTTTCTTTTCGCTAATAACAATCTTTATTGTAACAAACTTTAATTCTATCTCTATTGCTGTACAAACGTACTTCCGAAACAAGGTTTAGTCCCTGGACTCTAGTAAGTTTGTTGAGAGCGAAGTTACCAGTCGTAATCTTCTAATTTTGAAACTGTCCAGTGTGTGGTGTAACGAACGTTGTCGACCAGTTAGACTTACACTCGACAAGTAATTCAAACTTTATAGGTATTATTAATTTGATACTGAGAACATGTATCTGTAACATTTTTACTTCGAGATTAAGATGGACAAGGATGATCGAAGAAAGTACAGATGGATTGTGTGAAAGATAATAAGGTTATAACAGGCTGATAAATTGTAAAGAATAGTAGTACATAATGTGTCAATATTGATGATTATGATTACACTGTTGTATTAATAACATAGAGTAAACCATAGATACACAGCGTATTTTTAATAATACAACTTGTCAATGATTGTAATATTTACTGGCAATTTTTCCAGAAACATGTTTAGTAAATAAGCGATAGCTTAGTCGCTTGTCGATGTCATTCGACTTTCCATTTCCGGCGGCGTTTCGCGAGTCAGCGGGGACTATAAGAGGCTTCATATCCGCTCGTTATTGTGCACAAACCGTAAAATTGCTCAATATTCATGTAAGAAATTCATAGGGAAATTGTATAGCTGTTGATTTTGTCGAAATATTGTGTAGGATAGCGGAAATGGGATTAATATCCGTTAACTAGTCAATTCCATTTGAATCGGTTTTATGCTTGAATAATTGGAATGTTATTACGAAGTAGTAAATATGTCTTTATTTATATACGTAAGTTTTCTTTACAGTTTTTTGTTATACGAAAAAATAAAACAAATTTAAAATCATTACGTCATAGTTATTTGCTGTCGAATGTAAACTAAATGGAACATTTAAACGTGTTCGCATTTTTAAAGTTTTCAAACGAATATTTCAGTGCAATTTTTGTTACTTTTGATCAGCAATTCAGTGAAAAATTCAAACTAATTAAAAGCTTCGACTTGTTTCAAAGAACTGTTGATGTTCAAACATTTCAATAATTCAAAAATTGTTTTTGATAGTAATCATGAGCTTACATTATCGAATATTTTGCGAAACGTGATTTCTTATAAATGAATTATCAACATATATTTCCTTTTTGAGTGACGGCCAATTTTTCTGTAGTAATTACTTCATTGGACATGCGCTGTAATGCAATGGATTTTGTTATGGTATTTTAGTGGTAAAAATATACAATTATAAGTTTTAAAATGAACAAACTGGGATTCAACAGTCGTCGAATTTAGAAAGAAGCTGTGTTAAAAGGAAACAAATGGTAGCTGCGTACACAAAGAACGAAAATGATTCCAAAACAAAGACCAGTTCGAAACAAAGAACTTCTGAGAGTTTTAATTTGAAAAACCAGTCAAACGACTGTTTTCTTTGTAACGATTTTATAATAGATGTTTTGTGTATTTCTTTATGTTACTTTTAGGAAAAAATGTTACATCTATCCTCACAGAAAAAAAAAATAGTATCTGCTGCCCACCTAAAAAAAAGGAACCAAAGCACTGTGACTGGTAAACTGAATTTATTAGAATAACTGAATACACTGAGTATATTAAAATTTGTTTAATGGGCGGTTTCCGACTTAATTTTAACCATTCGTTAGTGTTATTGTTCGATAAATTCTTAAAATGACGTTACGAGCTACGTTTAACTCCTTAGAAGTTTAGGTTAACCAACACCAAGATAGCTAGGCAATGATAAAATAAATAGAAACTTTAGAAACCCAAATAAAATTGCATTAATTGTAAAATGGACAATGTCCCCGGCTGTTACGGAATTAATTATCACGGCTTCAATTTGATTAAAAGTTAATGTCATTCCGAGTAAAATAATAAATGCCGTCCTATTTATTTGCGATGAAGAGCTTAATTATAACTTCAATCTCGATTACATTGAAAAAATCATTTCGTATTGATTCTCGATGTTAATAACCTGGATTGAATTGCTAACAGATATGAAAGAAGTCAAGTTATAATTAAGTAAACGTAAAGTTTTACAGTGGTAGTGCCCGCTTTAACATCTTAGCACGAATGGGCCGGCACGCACCTGTAATACCACGACCACACAAAAGACAGGCGTGAAATGGAAGCAATTCCGTGTTTCGTCAGATGAGTGTGGTGCCGGAGGTCTAATTTAAGTCCCTTTCTCTTTACCACCCTTTTCTTTGAAGGAGAGGTTGGGAAGAGGAAGTGGATTTGACGGTGGAGGAGATGCATAGGAAGGGGAAATATTCTCTTTATGTGCGTCTCCTCCTCCGTCGTATAAGGGTAGGCAACGCATCTGCAATTGCGGATGTCTATGGGCAGCGGTCGCTTCGCCATTTTGGCGGTTTCAGGTGGCCGCTTGCTCGTTTGCCACCTTGTGTTATAAAAAAATATATATATAATTAAGTAAAGTAATAATTAAGTTGCCACTATGTAAAAAAAATATATAAACTTAGTGCAATATGTCTTGCCTTATAATACAATTTTTCTGGGTTATGCAAAACCATTTTATAACTTTTTTATGCTCTAAAACAAAGACAAAACATACGCGAAGTTGCTGGCAAGCCGGCTTCGTGGAAATTTAATCACGGTCTGGGAAAAAGCTTTTTTGGTTTATTTCTTTCGGGAAGGTAAATGGAAAAAATTATCGTCTTGTAAGGATTAGACGCAGATTATACAGATGTTTTCACATTTAATTTCTGGATTATGAGTTGTTTCAAAAACTTCATGTTGCGTTTTATGCTTTATTATGAACACTAGCTGTTCCCGTGCGGCTTCATCTGCATGAAATTATAACAACTATTTTATTGTTTACCTTTGTCAAATTCAAATGCTCAAATGAAAACCATTGTAACATTGCTTCCTTTTTGTTGGCAGCTTGTAGTTTAAGGTGCCTTTCCCACATCAAGGTGTTTTTACAATTTATTTACTGTTAAGTGTAATAGCGTGAAAATGTATGTCCTAAACCGTGACGTTTTTTTTATTTAAGAGAGAATGATTCAAAAATATGATGTGATTGCTGACGTAGCACAGGATCCACGAAGTGTGTGTTTACGGTTTATTAGATAAGTATAGAAGTATAGATATAGATTGAAGCTCACTTGCATTCTTTGGAAGATATTGAGGTAGGCATAGATCCTATAGTGGGCAAATAAAGTGATGATGATAATTAATGCTTGCTAATTATATTGATAATAATATATTAAAACTTTCTGGGTTTGAACGAGTAACCGATATTTTTTTAAAACTCATAGAAATCACGACTAGGTTAAATAAATGTTGTCTCAGTTCATCTGGTGATTAATTATGAGCGAAATTTTTTAGATATCCTTAACTCCAACATTAATAAATTCAAACTAATACATAAACTGTACTTAAGCTTTCGGTTTGAATAAAGCTCAATGGTATGTTTTAAAGTACAGTAGAGCTTTTGTAGTATCCAAATAAATAAAACTTTGCTTAAACGACCTGTTTTTTTATTGTACGACAGTGTTAGTCCGGCGTATTTGTGTTTAGTATTAAATGCTCGACAATTTTAGTTTTATTTCTCACGTTGTTTTAATACGAAAGAAATATTTATTGTAATAGCATTTTTTCATTTTAATATAAGAGTAAATATTTTTATACGGCATTTTATTGTCCTATTATACTCTGTTTTTTTATGTAAAACTGTTTGAATCGAAGTTTCCGTAAGGAACTTTTATTACTAAAATAAAATAAGCTGTTATCAACGTATCTCAAACGCCTATTTATTTTTGTAATATTACTTACGTTCGTTTATAAATTACTAAAAGGGCAAGCCTTTTTTAGATGTTCCATTACCTCACGTGAATGTGCACAAACTGTGTAATTGCCTTATAAGCGTGTAAGATTGATGTCTGTTACTACAAGCAAGAATATCTTGGAATTACTACGTAATTAATATAAAGTTTTACTTTTGCGTATAAGTTTATTTTCCCCTGATAAAGTACTTGTACAAAAAAAAAAAACAGAATTTTCAAAATCGGTGAATCAGGGCGGAGATATACCGTAACACACATAAAAATATATATACAGAATAATTGAGTACTTCCTTCTTTTGGGCAGTCGGTAAAAAAAAAAAACAAATCGTTTATCTTATGCTCTTAAAGTCATTTTTGATTGTTTTATATTAACAGTGTTAAAATTGTTTCAGGTTTAGATTCTACGTGTATTCAGCGTACGTGGAGCGACGAACTCTGGCAGCCGTGCGAGTGATAGCGGCGACGAGGACTCGCGGTGCCGACCCTGTTATCTGCCGCCTCTGGTTGCCGGACAATAGGACTCTCACACTCAAGGCTAGAGTGAAGGTACAAAGTTAAAATATTGTCCTTCTGTGGGTAATTCAAAGAATGGTAGCAAAATAACTTTATATTTGACTAGCTGTTGCTCGCAGCTTCGTCCGCGTGAAATTAAATAAAATTAGTAAAAACACAGTCTATATTACTCATTACATAGCTTAATGGTGCAAGAATTTTTGAAATCGGTCCAGTAGTTTTTGAATTCAATACCTACATACAAACATCCAAAAATCCAAATCTTTATAATATTACTAGAGATAGAGATTAGTATAGACTACATTTCTAAATCGTGAAAACATAAAAAATTGCAACATTTATTACTATCCTAACAGAAATCTAGAATACAATAATCTATTTACTCTATTAATATTCTCTTGTTATTGCTGTAGTTAAACATTCTTACAAAAAGTACATTTTTTTAAGAATGTTTTAAAAATTATTGAAACTAAAAATACTTTGTCGTCTCTAATGTTGCATTTAAATTTTATGGTTCTACATTCAAACAAAGGATGAACAAAGTTTAACGCAGTAGCGAGTTTGTTGAAGCCGCAAGGATTTTATAGCATCTTTCACACTGAACATTATACGAGTACAGTCAGTGGAAATTGTGTGAATTGACATACTTCTCTATTCTGATAATACTGTCTGTCGCACGTAACTCATACATACATAGTACATGTACGGTAGTATCGAAATTCAATAAGCAAGTAATTTATTCATACAAATTGTCATTCCAGCCAATTCGAGAGAACTGGAATTTGAAGTACAGTGCGACGTATGTGCTGTGCCTACTGCGGGAGACGGGAGTGAAGCCGCAGGAGACGGTGGGCGCCTCGCTGTCTGTACTGGCCAGCACGGCGCAGCATCGCCCGCCAACCAATCAACTCATTGTGCTCGACACTAATCCTAGGCAGGGCATCGAGGTAAATTCATATTTTAATGAGTATAAAAGCGTACGCACCACTATGACAAAACTATCGCAAAACTGTTTAGTCTCACTTTGATTCCTATGACCTTATTTGGAAGAGCGAATATTACTGGTTTTTAATTGTGTAATTAAACTGTTGAATGGGCTGCGAAACAACCGACAATTGCACAATTATGTGAGAGTCATAGGTGTGCGCCGGCTCCTAATGTAATGGAACATAAAGTGCTAAATAAATCTGTTACACATTTGTTATCAATTGTAATTCTTTTAAAATTTTCACTGATCAGGAAACCCTGCACGTGTGTGTGAAGCCGTTCCACTTTTCCTATGCGCGCGCCGACTGGCTGCTGGAGTGGTTCGAGCTGAACCGTCTGCTGGGCGTCAGCCACTTCTACATGTACAACGAGTCCCTGAGTGCGCCCGTCTCCTGCCTCATAGAGCACTACCGCAAGCAGGGTCTCGTCACTCTGCTGCCTTGGAAGCTTCCTATTGTATCCAAAGTTGAAATAAGGTAATTTGATGACACTAGCTTCGTGAAATCGGTTAATGTCTAGGAATTACTCTTAGTGTTCTTCTGTGGTTTCTTCAATTTTTATCAAATGTAAACATATTTTCTCCTTGGCAAGAGATAGAGTTAACATTTGAAACTGATTACCAACCTTAAGTAATCGTTGCCATCTTGCTTCTAAAATAAGCTAAAGCATGCATGTAAATATTTGCAGGACGGAGGGCCAGTTCGCGGCGTTCAACGACTGCCTGTACCGGTCGATGTCGGCTGCGGGCTGGCTGCTAGTCATCGATGTGGACGAGGCGGTGCTGCCACGGCGCGAGCGCACGCTGTCCGCGCTATTGACTGCGCTGCGAGCCGCGTACAACCCGCCTTCTAAGGCCCCATCCGCCTTCCTCTTTAGGAACGCGTTCTTCTACTTGGGTTGGGAGGTTTGTAAATCTATTTCAACAAATTGATAAATGTGATTGATATTCCAAGCTATTGACTTTCACACTTCAACACTATTACACATCAAATCCGACTAGTGACAGCATCCTATATTTCACGTCGGAAATTTGAATTATGTGGCTATAAATATTGAGCATCTACACTGTAAAGAGATGCGTACTTCGGTAGATTTTATCTTTGGTCTGTAAGTAAAGCTCTCAAAGATAAAATTACCGGATTCCCGCTTACCAAACATTGTGTGCAGTATGCAGCTTATTGTTCTGCAATATGAATGTGTTTCATACAGGACGACGCCGAAGCCCCGGCGCCTTTGTTGACGTCGCGCAAGACGCGCCGCTGGGCCGCGCCGCACGCGGTCAAGAACCGCAGCAAATACGCGCTGCGGCCGCGCGACGCCGTGGAGCTCGGCAACCACTTTGTGTGGGAGCTCGCGCCCGGCGCCAGCTCCGTCGGCGTGCCCACTGACCGCGCCCTGCTGCATCACTACCGGGTAACACAAATTCATTTATATTAATTCGAAGCCACAATTCTGATTTTCTAATGCTATTCAAATTTGTAAGCACTCATATGCAGGCAAGGTTGGATAAAAATTCATATTTATTGTCTCCGTATCATCGGGATACTTTGCCAACAAATTTCGCACAGTATCGACTAAACTAGGTTTATCTCCATCCAAACTTAATTTAATTAAATTAAATTTCTTATTATTAACTTCATAATAAAGATAATTTGGGACGATTTTAGAACCTTCCTTCTTTTTAGAGTAGGTTAAATACATATGTATACAGTGTGTACTAATAAAAATAATGAATGTTCCAGATGGCGTGTGAGTACGGCGGGCAGCAGTGCCTGACGGTGCCGTCGACGGTGGACCGCACGGCGCACCGCTGGGCAGACGACCTCCTCAAGCGGGTCAGTGCTGAAAAAGACGCATATTTAAGAACGTGCCCCGCCTGAACACTTCGCCGCTGCATCTCCCTCGTTGTACAAATTTACAAGTACATTTTAAAATGGTCTCATTATACCATAGATATTAAAATACGACCATGGAGGTTAAATATTATCACGTTAAATGTCACCACAGATATTCGATGGAAAGAGATTCGCACTGTTTTTTAAGCATCCGTTAATCATGTTGAGTTTTTTTACAAACTTTTTGACCATCAATCCTTTGCTGGTGATATGTGATCAGTTAGACTAACTAACTCTGTTTATTTTAGTAAAATGAAAATTTTATATCAATTTATTCATTAATTAACATTAACATAAAAAAGATTTAAGATCTTTCTTTGCATAGTGATTTGTGATTTTTTTATCCAAGCTCCATTTCGAGCTTCGCAATACTAATATACGATTCTTTGGTAATATGGATAATTTTTTGGTAATATCGTGACAATATTGAATCTCTGTGGTCCTAAGTAATTAAATCTGCATTAAAATTTATCTGTACAGTTTTGTTAAATACAATACAAAGTCCAATCCAAATATTACTAAATAAAACTATGCTCTTTACTACTTGTACAAAATAAATTAATTCAGTAACTTTCAACTATTTATCAATCTATCATATATAATTTATCAATCTGAATATTTTATTGTATCAAATAAAACGTTATTGTATGTGAAATAAACTTAAGTAAAATTTTAACATTTAGAAATTGTAAGATGGCATCAGTTTATTATGGCATAGAAGTTCTATTATTCAACACTTTTATAATCGCATTTTATCTATCTGTTAATTTAAAAACATCAAGATACCAAATATTGATATTTCTTTCATAAAACTGTATAAAAAAGAGATTTTAGAACGTTTTTAAGGTTCACTTCAGATATCGTTAAAAACATAACTAGTTGCCCTAATAATTCGAAGTTGTCTTGTAGTTATTATTGCATCATAATAAGAGGACCACTTAGTACCAGTGACATTTAAAAGCTACAATGTATTACCGCCATATTATAAACATTTACCCCAACTGACAAGAGTTATGTCTTTAGCGTTTATTAGCTAAGGCTGGGACACACTGTATTTGTAGAAAAAAAAATGTTATTGCTCTAAACAGTTAAATCGAGCTAAACTATCGCACAATTGTTGTGCAACTGTCGATTGTCTATTGTTTCACAGGTCATTCAACTGTTTAGTACAACTTAAAATCGAGTAGTGTGCGCACCATATAAGCTCACAGGGATCAAAGCAAGACTATACAGTTGTGCGATAGTTCAGTCAAAGGTGAGCGAGCACTCCTAATTTCTAGATAAAACTGTCTGAACTGAGCACCTGTAGCAGGCTTGACCTTCTGCAATATTATGTCAAGTAAGGTGTAAAATTCGTATTTTCAGAGGAATGTCATAAAGATATCAGTCCGGTACATTTTTATTGACCCGTTAGTTTTAATATAACATACGTAAATAATCAGTATTCAATGTAGATATACATGCCATTTATAATTCTTTGCTCAAGCTTACAGCGTTAACAGTATTAGTTAAAATGATAATATACTTACATGTTTTAACTTTAATATGGTAATATGATCAAATTTATTTAAATAAATATATCGAATATCTAAATCTTGTTCAATATACTTTCAGAAAATGTTGTAGTCTAAGGAAGTCGTATTAAGCCATACCAAAAACGCCGTATTGTTTTATATTATTTAATATAATAAACCAACGTATCATTTTTCATTAATAATATTGTTATTTGTTTAATGGCCGGTTTCCCAACTACGTTTAACCATTCGTTAGTGTTACTGGGTCGATAACTTCATAAAACGCGTATTCAAACTACGTAACATGAGTTTTATTCCGTTAAAACTTAGGTCAAGTGAATACTAATAAACCGCTAGGTATAACACATAAATAAACTTCAGAAACCCAGCATAAATCGGCTACACTTGTCTATAGATTATTTTGAACCATTACATGTTATGGCCCTTGTTAACTTATATCTTTTTCTAAAAATAAAAAAAAAAAGTATTATGTGATTGTAGATCCTGAGACTTCTAATTTAATATCTTGCTTACAAATCATTTTTAAATACCAATATAAAATTAAATTTGCATATTGTAAATATAATTGTTCTGTGTAAATAAACTATTTACTCATATACAATAAGTACACAAAGCCATTGCTACTGTTTAGATGTTGTCGAGTCCGTATTCAATTTCGTGTTGTAAATGTATCTTTAATATTATAAAAAATAATATGTACATATCCGTATTTATTCGTTATTGTGTATCAATTATACCTAATTATTAATTTTCTTAATGTTAAAAGAAACTCGAGTACACAATTTTTTTTTAATTATTTACATTTCTTTGAATATTCAATTACATATTTTATACAATTATGTTTAAGTTTAATCTTTATTCATATATGTTTTGAAAAGTTACATAAATGCTGTTCATAATAATTAAACGAAATTAATTTAAAAATAACAACTAATATTAAAAGGATTTTTTATGTTAATGGTATACAGATTTCGTCAACTTTTACATAATTTTAGTTATAATTTTTTTTCATATTATTGTATATCCGGACTTAATTTACGTTACGTTACAAATGGTTGTTTTTCCAATAAAATAAACCGCACATTAGTGTTATTGGCACATATCATAAAACTGCATTATATAATATCAAAATGCAATTATTGTAATACACAAGTTTTTGGTCGAAGAACATTGGGTCTGTTTTGTTTTTGTTTACGTCTAGCTAACTCGGTTCCTAGAAGTAATTTTAAGTATGATTGTATTGTAATCGTTATTGTTAAATGTATTAATGTTTGTTTTACGTAAAACTGCTTAGACGGTGTTCAAACCAAACGTAGAGTCACTAGCTGCGAACAACTTGGGTTTCGATAACTGTCGTCTCTCTCATTCTTTATGTAAACAACAAAGACAACAACATGTATCCATATAAGTGTCTTGATAATCTAAATCCACAGTAATGTAGTCTATTTTGTTAATTCATAACCTTTAATTACGATTACTAAATTTACACTACCACCATCTCTATAAATGGATAGGCTATCAGACATGGATTTTTATGTCTTTGATTTTCGCCATTATAACGCTAATGGCAGCGGTGGTGAATAATCGAACTAAATAAAGATTGAATTAACAGTTATATGCTTTTAAAGAAAAAGCTGTCATTTCCAAGCACAAACCATTCTATTTCCAGAGATCATTAACATTAAAGAAAGATTCGAATTAAGTTTTGAGTTTGCTTACAATTAGGGATTTGTTATAGGTTTGGTTTGTACACGGTCTTTCCTTAAACGGTTGTATTGTTATGACGCTTATTCAAATAGAACTGCAGAATTAATTAATTTTAAATTTCGACTATTGTATTTTAACGCTCGCCTGCGAAACAAACCTGCTGAAATAATCGTATAGACTAAAAATTATAAATGTTTGATGGTAACAAAATTTAGTGGCAAATGATATTTTTTGTGTCTATATTTTTATCTGTGATGTCTATTTTAGAGACCTGGGGTTATATTTGATTCGGGGAGTATTGTTTTGTTAGTGAGGAAGTTGGATATGTTTTTTTGTAAAATAAAATAATACTGAATTTGTTACGTGTTTCATTTAATATAGAGCACTTGAAGTAGATTGGGTCAATATGTATGTACAGTCAGCTACATGAATGTAATTACTTTTGGAAGTTTCAGAAACTTGTATACGCGGTTACAGAAACATAAATGCACGAATCCGTCTTTATGCTTCCGTCCACTAAGACATGATGTTGATGAATACATTTAAAAAAAAAATTGAAACCGAAGGACTATACCAGTTTCTAAAGTTTTGTAAACGAATACATTTTTATACAGCTTACTGTACAATTTGAACTGTGTTTCATGTCTTTAGATAGATGGCGTTGTTCTAAAAACTTAATTATGTACTAAAATAAAAGTATTCTAATCCTAAGTAACTTAGAAATATATAGGATAAATTGTTTAAATATAAAAGTATTGCTGGTTTTAATACACTTTTGTATTTATAATTAAAAATCAAAGACATAGCTAATAGAAATCGTTTACTTGCTTTTTTTAGATGCGGGATTATTCACTAACAGACTCTTAAAAAATAGCGCATAATTTATTTATTAACTAATGATTGTTTTAATAAATGGAGAAATACACCTAATACATTTTATTTCCGTATCGCATTGCGTGCTCTAATTACTTTGTTCAAATTTGGGTGTTAACAGATGTTTTGTTGTAATTTAATAACAATGTTTTATCTGTTTGGTATTAACTATTAAATAATTGGCTGAAGCACAGAACAGATCAGATAAGCTTATAACTAACGTGCGGTTAACGGGGAGTTAGTTGTACGTAGATTATCTGGCAGCATGGACGGCGCTCGGCTTGTGTACACAGCACTGTTTGCTTGTCTGAACTGCGCCCGGGTATGTTATCCTGCTTTTGTACTATAACAAGCATGTTGGTACATACTAAATTCTGAATAACTTGAGGTTAATCTGACTTTAAAATAACTATTTCAAAAAACTATAGTAAAATGTAATTTACACAATGTGTTTTTATTTGTTTGGATGTCTATGGGCAGCGGTTGACGGTTTTGACGGATTTAGGTGGCCGCTTGCTCGTTTGCCACCTTGTAATATAAAAATACATCAATTTCCTTTGTTTTCTAGTTACAATCAGTTTTATTTTATTTACTGCCATTTTGACGGTCTTTTTATGACAAAATCTTTATTGGAATATTACTTATTATGGCAGTAATCGTGCCACTGCAAGTACAACATACTCTCGTAACAGGTTCTAGCGACGTTGACATTTACTTTGAACGATGGCAACCAGATTCCAGCCGTGGCATTGGGTACTAGCTTGGGTCATCTTTCTGACGTAAGTAATTTAGATAGTTAATACATACGAGTACTAATATCATAAATGTAAAAGTTTAGATGGATGCATCGATTTTTGCTAGAGTTTGTAGACTAAACGGCTCAACGGATTTCAATGAAATTTGGTATAGGTGTAAACGATATTCTGGAAAAACACATAGGCTACTCATTTTTGTTTTTTTTCACGCGACAAGACCCGCGGGCGAAAGCTAGTATGATATAAAAAATCTAATGTTAACAATGTGTAACGTCTAAATTGTACTCGTAGGGAACCCGTGTGCTACCAGTGAATCATTCCTTGGCTCGCGCGGTACAGTGGGCACTGGAGGCGGGTTATAGACATATTGACACTGCCACGCTGTACCGAGTCGAAGATGAAGTCGGCTTGGGACTACACAACTATCTGAAAGAGACACATACCAACAGAGAAGACATTTACATTACTACTAAAGTATGTACTAATATTTCTGTAAAAGTGTACACAATCTGTCATTTTCTTATTGTAGTCAATATTATCGTTTTCTGTTAGTATCTCATTAAAATCTTGCTAATCAATGTTATCGTTCCGGCACATAAAGCCACTACTGCAGTTTGCCGTCTTCAGCGTCCTGCAAAATCTTTGCAATTTATAGCCGATTTAAATTCTTTATGTATTTAACTAACGCAAAAATATTTTTACAGATGTTAACAGTCATATCAGCGACTATTGACACTATCAAATTGGTCATGAATTCAAAACATATTAAGTTACGTGTCTGGTTTTGCAATTATCACATCATAATGCTGTGATGTGATAAATAAATTGGACTGAATTTACCCTACGATAGTTCTGGGGAATGATTACTTCTGAAAATATCTTGAGCTGTTTAAGCTTTTCGTAACGCGTCAAAACGAAAATTCGTAATAAAGCTGGGGCAAACATTACCCTCTTTTCAAGGCCGACATTCTTAATGCGTATGATTTTTGTTTTACTTATTGTTTTGTTTTATAGCTATGGAACGACGCTCATGAAAATAATGAAGTGACTCCTGCGTTAATTGCTTCACTTGTGCAGTTGCAACTGAACTACGTCGATTTGTACCTCATGCATTATCCAATGGCTTACAAGGTGATTGTTTAATTTTTATTCTTTAAATATTTCCTTATAGACTAAACTTGGCATACAAAGTTTTACTCATCTTAATATCACGTCCTTAAAAGTAAAAAAAATAATTAGTTTCAAATAAAGCCGTAAGCGAGCTTGTAAAATAGAATTTTTCTTTTTCGTTAATATTCTTCTTTGTTAAAAGTTTTTATTTACTTTGATTACTTTTAACGGATATTTTTCTATTCATTATACAAAGTCCGTTATTACTTTGCTACTCGAGTTTGTATTTATGAGTTTTTTCTTCCTTTTTCATTAAGACGACAACAAAAAGAAGTTTACATTTTAATGATTTTTTTTTTCTTAGAAAGACGGAAGTATAAGTTTAACTGATTATTTGGAGACTTGGAAAGGAATGGAAAATGCTTATAATTTAAACCTTACTAAGTCAATTGGAGTATCCAATTTCAACATAAGCCAGATGCAACGACTTTGGGATCATAGTGTTATAAAGCCAGCTGTTTTGCAAATAGAGGTAAAGAAACAAACACATGTTGCATTAGTTATTTATTAAACAATTCAAAGATATACAAGTTATAACATTTTCACGTGACATATAGGGACATATAGGACTTGTTATAAAGGGTGTTTTTCGGTCAGATCACCGATCATTCGATTCAATGATATTTTTTCCCATTGCATCGATTGCCAATGATGAAAATTCTACTACTCTTGGAACACATCTCTTATACAATCAGCTTTAAAGCACATTGAATATCTAGAAAACATAAATACTGTTTTTAAATAAGTGGTAGATTATTTACATTACAAAATAATATTTATAAAGGTGAATCCAACTATAACACAAGACGAGCTGGTTGATTGGTGTGACGAACACGGCGTTATAGTGATGGCGTACAGTCCTTTCGGTGGTATCCTAGGTCGTAAGTCAGATGCGCCTCCGCCTCGCACCGACCATCCTATACTGAAGAGAATAGCTGCTAAATACAATAAGTCTGTGCCGCAAATACTATTAAGATATTTGGTAAGAAGTTTTGTAAAATCTAAACTGACATTTCCAGAAATGTACAAAGAAGTAACAAGACAAACGATATAAAAGTTTTGAAATCATATTTATTCGTTTATCAACTAAGACCTTCTACTATTTATTTTTGTGATCAATAATTAAAACTAAAGATTTTAACAAGTAATAAGAAACTAAACTAAAGAAAACGCTTAATAAAGTATACCTACTAAATGGACCGTAATTAAGAAATCTAAGAAAAAGCTCTCAAGTTTGATTTACCAGATTTTATTTCCAGATTCTTTCATTTCTAAGAAATTTGTATTGATTCTTATTTTCTATTGATTGTATAGAGGAAATATTAGAGAAATTTCTTTTTCTTTCAGTTGGACCGTAAAATGGTCGCCATTCCACGTTCTACAAATAAGGAACGAATAAAACAAAATATTGATATATTGGATTTCTCGCTCACGAAGGACGAAGTTAAAGAATTATCTACTTTTAATAAGAATTACAGACTGCGGACTCCTGCAAAGTGGTACTCACATCCTCACTTCCCTTTTGAAAAGAAAAATCTAACTGAGAAAGAAATTCAGTACATAATAGAACATAGCATTGAAGACTAAAACAATAGATTATAGCTAAATGGTTTTAACTTAAAAGCGATAATTTCTTGTTACTTAAGTACAAGTATACCTAAATAAATATCACTTAATTTGCATACTAATGTGTGTAATATAAAATTAAACTTATTATATTTTCTCACTCGAATAGGTTTTATATTTCCAAACTTTGAAGTTTATAAAAGCTCAATGGAAACTTAAAAGGAAAGTTTAAGAACATTTCCTTTGAGTTTCTAATTCTTAGCCTTGGTAGTTAATAGTCAGGTAAAGTTGTGAAAGTTGAAATAATATTCTTTTAATGTTTATCAAAAAATCTACATACAACACTGAAAAGACACATAAGGACGATCAATACTATATTTCAGTGCCGTTGCCAACTGAGAAGGATTATATTTTGATTGACATGTTATACCTTGTTATTCCAAATCTTGTTTGAAAGACATGTGTACACCTTTTTGCAACCATTTCTTCGAATAACGACAATCTGATAAATCCTCATAATCTCTTGTAACATGGTAAAAGTGAATTTAGTAATTTCATTTCTAATACTATGAAATTCAAATAAAAGAAGAAAGAAAGAAAAGAAAATTGTATATTTTTTCTGAGTTTATCTTCCTATGTTCTATAGGTCAAGGATAAAGGCTTTCAGGGCTTAAAGAATACATCTTCTGTGAGTTCTCAGAGCATTAATAATTCAAGGAGTTGGTACGTACTTGCGGTGTTACTCTTGTATTTTAATCTCGGAAGGCAATAGTTGAAATTCAAGTTTAACAATTTACGAACAAACTTCATCTTGAGTTGACCGCACTCGACCCCGGTGACATAAAGTTTTATAAGTGGCTAGATTAAGGATTTATGTCTCTCCTGTAAACAATTTTGTATTTGTGGTTATGTTAATGCCTCCTTATATTAACTAGCTGTTGATCGCAACTTCTTCCGCGTGAAATTAAAAAATACTTAAAAATATGACATATGTTACTTACTGATAACGTAGCTTTTTAATGGTGAAAGATTTTTTTAATAGTCCGAATAGTTTTTGAGTTATTTCAACACATACAAATCTTTCCTCTTCATAATATTAGTGTAGACATAGATTAGTACAAATAAGACAAAAAAATAGATTTTTCTGATGCCGGCACTGGAAAAACCGTTTAAGCTGATTGCTAAATTTTAATGACTGGACGGTCTTGTTTAGCACATAAGAAATAGTATAAAAAGTCATTTAACTTAAAAAATGAGTGACTTTTTGTGTCAAACCCGTCGGTTTTTACTTACTTTTGTTTGGTAACAGCATCATGTAGTACCTGCACATCAATGTGATACTGGAGTTTTCCCTAAAGTGGGGATTGAACTATACGTACATGGTAAATGATGGGGGTCGTTTGTTTCTCTCCCTCGAGTATTATAACAATCGAATATTCGACTTCTACTATAAATATTTATAGTTGGAAGTTTACCTTTATAAAATACTGCAGTGTTTTTACATAGACAAATAGAGATTTTACTTATTTTACTTTCTACTGTCTCTTTTTTAAAATGTTCTACTAAATAACTTGATTTGCTTATAAAAGTTGCTCATTTCTTATAAAAATGTTCTTATAAGAATAATGTTTTTCCGTAGTGCTTCAGTTAATAAACCGTTCAATCTCTTTGTGATAGATTATAATAGACTTGATGTTGCTTTTATTAGTTGTATATCCATTCAGATTTTTTTTTATTCAGTCATAAAAAAATTTATGAAAATTCAAAATATAAATAAAAAAAAATTGACAATTTTATGGTTTATAAATCAAAAACGTATTCCCGTTTTACAACATTACATTGCTTTATAAAAATAGTTCTTCCTATTTATGTGCTCGCTAACGACCGACTCTGCAGTGAGTTTTTGTAACATTACGAACATTCCAGAGATAAAGTTAGATTGTCTGCTTTTTATATGGAATACTAGCTTTTACCCGCGACACCGTCCGCGTGAAAAAAATAATAAAAAAATATAGCCTATGTTACTCACAGATGTATAACCTTTCTAACGGTGAAAGAATTTTTAAAATCGGCCTAGTAGTTTTTGAGCCTATTCATTACAAACAAATAAACAAAATTAACCTCTTTATACTTTAACTTCCACTGTATTTCGACATTGTATCTTAAATTTTATTTTTTCAATTCCGTTAACATTTAAAACTCTTAAAAGTCACGTATATCGTATTACTAGATTTTACTTTATAAGCCATTAAGTTTTCATTTTGATATTATTACGGTACAGTATAATACAATTGATGTACAAAGTACATAATATGTTAATCAGCCACTGCTGTATTAAATGGAATGATTAACTAAACAGTGAATTATCGAAGCAAATAAATGTTTATCATACGACAGCTGACTGATTGATATTTGTCTATGACAATTTATACCATAGTGTTATATGTTAATGAAAATAGATAATCAATTTATATGATTTCAATATAATTCTATATGCAATTAGACCACGGTGCTATTTAGAATTTCCTTATTGGCCCAGAATAGTTTTGAAAATCGCTTCTTTTTTCATTAACATAAAATTGTAATGCAATTGGTCATTCTATACTTCAACCGTAACATAAAGAAGTCTAAAACTATAGTCATTTGTTTTAAAAATGACATGAAGAGAGTAACTAAGTAGGAATGTGTGGAGAGAATAATATTTTTCTTCAACTTATTTGAGTAACACTTCTAACATAAACAAGTATAATTGTAATTAATTACAATTCGACAAAAACTGAAGTCCAGATTAAAAATATTATCTTCCATCGTACATGCATTTAATGCAGAACATAAACTTAAAAAACCCACATGGCTATTTTATACGTTTTAATGGTAAATTATTGAGCTTTCATGAAACGATTGAAAGCATCGAGTTCTATAATAGCATTACGTTAAGAGCTTTTTACGCTTGCCTCTGTAACACAGCAGAGCACTTTACACAAAAAAATAAATAAACGACACTATTTGTTTGGAAACTAACCTTTGTACTCCGCTTACGTTATTTGTTAAAATAAGTGCAACATTTGTTTAAACTTTGTTGTGAAATGTTTAACTGTTTCATGATTAACTTGACAATTAATAAAAGCTATTTACATCGTATCATAGTGATGTATTATATAAAATTACATTAAATAAGGACATTAAGTCTATACCAATCCTAGGAAGTAAATAGACCCTATATGCCTTTTCCACACTTTTCTTATTATAAGACATTAAGGGTTGATAAGTCAACAATGAAACGTAGAAAATTACTGAAAAACGTTTTACTAATATTTTAAATGCGAATGTTTAGATGGATGGATAGTTTGTTAGAGTTTATAGCCTAAACAGTTGAATAGAATTTGTAGAAATTTTGGTACAGATGTAGATTATAATCTGGAAGAACATATAGACTACTCACTTTTTTTTAATTCCACGCGCACGGAGTCGCGGTCGAAAACTAGTAATTCCATATAACCGCTAGTTAACCCGAAATTGTGAATCACATCGGGCTTTTTATTGCAGCGACAATTTGAATGTTACACGTCGTTAAGCTCCGATTGAAATAAATTACATTCAGAGTAACGGATAGCAAGCAAGCTTTTACACTCTCATTCATTAAATGGTCAATAAAATTTATATCACTCTATTCACCCGTTCGGTTTTAAGTTTAACCGTGAATTTCCATTGGCGAAACACTTGTACAAATGACGTCTCTATTTTTTCAATAAGAATGAAAGAGATTCCAAACTGTACACTTCGTTAACGCTTTGGTAAATGTACGGATGTGTTGGTAGTTTGGAAATCCGGTGATACATAAATACCTTTTCGTAACGTCACAATAAGAAATTGAAATTAGACATTTTTTATATTGTGGTTTTTGTAAACATTAGCATAGGCGTTACGGGGAGGATCGGAATAAAATTTAAGCAGTTTTTTTACACGACGATTGTTTTTAATTAATTTTAAAAGTAATTCAAGATTTGCAGTAAATTTCAAAGTAAGTTTGTTCAAAATGGAAAATATAATAGGTAATACTTATATCATTTAAAATTAATGTTACTTATTATGGGATAAGCTTATCCATTACACTTGGCCAATTTTAGTTAGAGTTTCCCTCTCTGCTCTTCTATCAAATTGTAAGTGAGCCGTAACAAATAAAATATTGACGGGCCCTGAAAAAGGGGCCGACCTCGTTTTCAATATCTCGCGGTATACGACGTATAGACAGAGGAAACCACACAAAGTGGAGGATTACTTTTGATGGATAAATGTGTATAAATGTTTTCTTGATTCTTTACTTTCATTTTTATTTTGTTACAATACGTTAGAAAGTATATGCAACCGTTAATTTATAGATATAATAAAATTGGAGTGTTTGTAAAATCAAATGTAAAAGTCCAGATTTCGGGAAAATTTGCGTTGCTGAAAATAAAAGTTGCATATTTAAAATATCTATCTGTGTGTCTGTCCGCACGCCACGTTTGTTCCTGGTAATGTCCGAAACTGCTGGGCCGATTTAGACCGGACTTTCCCTGAAGGGTAGCTGACATAGACAGTGCGTGGATGACGTCCCGGGCAACAGCTAGTTTCTGAACATAGTTTGTCTTTACTATAGCTTAAATTTGTGAATTGTTCCTTTTTGGAACTACAAATTTTCCATATTTTTTTGCAAAGCTCCAAACAAAAACTGCGTTTTTCTTTTGTGTTTAGGCATTCGACGAAGTATGACTAAAAATTTCTCATTGATTTTATATACAAACTGGAAACAAATCTTATTTTATGAACGAATCAAGACGTATCTACGAGTACCAGTTGTCATTGTTTCGTGACTATGTTCCATATTTCAAAGTTCTAATTAATTTCTGATACAAACCGTATCGTTGACATGATTCGTATGCGAAATAACGCGTACACGGAAATGTATTTAGGCGGGCGTTATTGTTGTACGCACGAACGGGAATTGAGGATTAATCGAATTGTGCTCTATTCATCAACGTCTTGCGCGTGTCGGGCCGCTCGGAGGCCGTGCGGTTTGTATTGGACCGATTTAAGCTCGTTATAGTTAATCAAATAATATGTAATATATGGTAATGATTACAATAATGTTATTATAA